ATGAGGCATCAAACAAAGATAAGAGCATTGTAAGAAGTGTCAATATTAATAATACATTTCTTTGTTGCTGTTTCTTTCTTTCTTGGTAGAAATGTGGTTTAAACTCAAAGCCTCACATTTGCTAGATAGGATCTTTGTCATTTGTACCACAACCCCATCCATTTATTCTTTATTTTTTTCAGATAGGTCTTTCATGCGTATGTGTAGGCTCAGTGATCATGGAGCCTGAACTCAAAGATCTAAACTTAAGGACTTGGCTTTTTCTCTTAAGGCTGGTACTTTAACACTTTAAACATATCTCCACTTCTGGCTTTTTTTTTCTAATTTATTGAAGAGATCTTGAATTTGTATGCCCAGGCTGGCTTCTATCCTGGATCCTATGATCTCAGCTTCCTGAGTAGTTATGAGTCTAATCACAAGGCAAAATTCTTCTATGGGTCTTCCATTTTTAACTAGGGGCAGCTTCAGACTGCAGTCTTTCTAATGCCTGCTGTGTAGCTGGGGTTACAGACATACTCTATCATGCTAACACAGTAAAATGTATTTAAAATCCAGAGGACTAGACAAATGAATGATCCTCAGGACTTCCTACAAACAGGGGAGAATCACAAAGGTTTTTAGTAAGAAGGAAATACTTTGAGTGAGTATGCCACTCTTTACATTTGTACCATAATTCATTATGGTACAACCCCCTCCTAAAATCTTGAAAGGGTTTTAGAAATTTCTCATTTGACTACTATAATTATTCACTTATTATTTAATGAGTACTTTGAAAAAATAAGAAGATAAATATTACAGTCAGTGTATTATTTGGCTGGTCTTTACCTGTAGACACTGCAAGAAACCTACCCATTATTTTCTTTAAAACTATTCTAGGACCAAGTGTAATGGTGCATGCTTATAATCTTAAAACCAGGTGTCATCACCTATAATCTCATCTATATAGAAGTGGAGGCAGAGATAGGAGAATTACAGTCCAAAGCTAGCCTGAGCAAAAGCAGAAAACAAACTAAAGTAGAAAGAACTTGGAATGTGGGAAAGATAGAAAACAAGAAAGAAGAAAATCTAAAAATACGATGAGAGTCCTATTTTTTAATTGTTTGAGAGAACCAAATTGCACATGGAAATTTATCTTGTACAGACTTAGGAGCTTCTTAAGCACATATTCCGACACACACACACACACACACACACACACACACACACACACACACACCACTCCTCATACACAAAAGTGCCCCTCATCACTACTTATGTTTCCACATTTATTCAATGTGCTTATCTACTCACCCATATTTCAATTCTGAAATATGCCACATTATACTGGGGGCAAAGGGACAAGATGATTCTCTTTGTATAATATGTGATATGTGTGTGCATATGTGTGTGTGTGTGTGTGTGTATATATATATATATATATAGTTTGGCCTGGGTCCTTGAACTCTTTTACTCAAGGCTAGTGCTCTACCACTGAGCCACAGTGCCACTTCTGGGTTTCTGGTGGTTAATTTGAGATGAGAGCCCCACAGATTTTCCTGCCTGGATTGTCTTTAAAGTGTGATCTTCAGGTATCATCCTCCTGAATAGCTAGGATTACAGGTGTGAGCCACCAGCCACCAGCTAAAATAATTTCATACTTTCCTCCTTTCTCTTCCAAAAGTAATGACATTATTCAAGATGCATTGTACTCAAAAAGTGGCATGTTGACATAAAATCCCTCTGTACATTTATTTAAGGATAATTAAAATAATAAAAGTAAAAAGAATGAAATTTTGGGTGATCCAAGAAATTATTTTGGCTTATAGTTCATATTTGTATACCACCAAAGACTATACAAACAAAGGCAATTGAAATGTGCTGTTAATGAATGGCTGCAAGAAAAGATTTCAGGTAACTTATATGCAATTTAAGTTCTAAAATGTGCTACATATGGTTACAATAATGAGCCCATTATTGAAAGGAGCACTTTAGCAATATATAGGAATCTATATGATATTATGCACCTGCACTATGCACACACATTATCTTCATCTCCCTGAACATTAGGTGTGTCATTTTCACTTAAGAACAGCTAAGAAGCAGAGATGATGAAATCTTTCTCATTTTAAAAGCACCTTTTAAGTCCTATTAAATTACCAGATAGAGGTACAGGATAAAGTTGGAATTAAAAGTCTTAAAGTTCACACTATTTCCTTGTAAATGATTAAGTAAATATAGTATGATTTGAAAGAAACAAAGAAAATCTGGGAAACAAAGACTAAAGACAATACATATTCTTTTATCAAATAAATAATAGACAAAAAATCTGCCTATAATTAGTCTTATCAAATGAGAAATCTTCATTATATAGTAAAGGAAAAAAGTTTGTGTGTAATTCTCAACTAATTCAATTTTTTCTTCACTATGGATTGTTACCAGAACAGGATCCTGAGAAATCATAAATAATACCAGAGCATATCTTCCATGAGGAGGCAAAACTCCAACAGTTTTTCATACACTATAAAAATGCACATATAAATAACCTACCAAGCAAATATCAATGCAAATCTATGTATCATTTGTCACTGAATAAAATTAATTCCTGTGTCTAGCACAAGGTTAGTCAGTATATCTTTGAAATGGTACAAGCTTCTCTAAATTTGAAATTCATGTGGAGAATAAGCACACACCTCTAAGGAGGATAATAAGTAAATAGAGAGCAAGGAATTCTGGAAGACTACAAAGCTTGGAGATCCTATGAAGCAACCCTTTGGTTATCCATGTGAACACCGAGTCCCAAGTGTTGAAACAGCCTAGAGGGCAGTGTTGTCCACATCCCAAATTTTCAGCAATCCCCAAGGAGAAGCTGTCATCATTCTAAGTATCCAAAGGCAATCCAATGTCAAATGTATGCTCAACATTCAAATTCAGTGTCCACGGTTTCCTTTAGTCTTGACATAGAAGATGCTAAATATAGAAGTAGTTTCATATAAGCACAATTTAACGTTGCTTTCTTAGTCTCTCTTCTAAACCTGGGCATCTATTTTTTTTCCCCTGACATTACTATACATTGTCTTGTACATTATGGCCCAAACACCCCCCTTTCTCTTATATTGCTAAATCACAACAAAAATATGTCCTTAGATGAGGAGAAGAGAGGTAAGGAAGAGAGGAATCAAATAGAGGGAGAAAAAAGGAGAAGAAGGGGAGGAATAAAAGGAAGAAGGAGGGAGGGAGGGAGGAAAAGAAGGAGGAAGTGAGTGAAAGGAAGAGAGAAATGGTGTCTCCTTGCTAGCACTATTCTAGCAAGCTGGTTAATTGCGTTTGTCTCATATATCTCCAAACCGCCTGTAATGGTAATTATATTCTGTAACACCAAGCCCTTCTGATTTCCTGTCACTGCACTGAGCAATGTAACTGTATTCCTCTTGGAGACACACTGATTTTTTTAAAAAGGACAATTCTATAACCTAACATATAGTTTATACATATCATGAAATCATGGTTCATGAAGATATACTGTTTAAAAAGCTGTTTCTAAGTCTTATCATCCAAATCAAACACATTTGGGACAAATTTATAAACCTTTATATTATGGTAATGCATATGTACTGTACATGTAAATGTATTTGAGAAAAATGCATTGTCACAGTGTAATTCACAGTGGTCAAGTCTGACTACTTCATATGGAGAATCAAGCAGTGAATACACACACACACACACACACACAAACACACACACACACACACACACCCTTTCCCTCCTATCGCTGAGGGGCAAAAGTACTCCTGTAGTCCATGATTGAAAACAGCCACTTGACAGTAGGTAAACTCATCTGTATTGCCTCATGTTTATAGAAAGCCTTCCTTTTTGTGTCTGATACATTAGTTTCGTGCAACACCAGCTGCCAAGACCAAAGTTAGCTCTCACAGATGGGCAAAAATAGGCAGTGTCCCAAATAATGAATTCATCCTCAATGAAATGCTCAAGGAAAGTTTGCATAGCTCAAATATTTAGACTCATATACCTCAGCTCTTCGGCAAGTGCAGGAATGAGAATCTGACAGCCTTCCAGTCCACATTTCTGGCAGGGATGAGCTTAGTTCCCTCTTTATACCAATACTTTTCATTGATAGAAAAAAAAATTAAAGTCCCTAGAAGGCTAATACCAAATGTTCTTTTGACTTTCAGTGAATGGCAACCCCCCCCCAAAGGGCATTTTAATGATTATTCCCACTTTTCATTCTAAACAATTATAGGAATGGTTTTGTACAGGTCTCGCAAGAAACTTAATTTCTGTGCAAATATCCCAGGAAAGGCACTTGGAACAAAAGATAGGAGAATCAGGCAGAAGGCTATGTGTTTGACAGTGTGATTCAACCTAGAGGGAGACACCTAGCGCACCTGTTCCAGGTCCCCATTGTGTGAAGACACTGGTGAGTAAACTCAGTGTCCACACCTGCAGCCAACTCTTAGCCCATGTACCCTCTTCCTGGAGCTTTGCCCAGTCTCACTTCTGACAGTCCATGATCTAAATTCTTCATTCTCATTTCCTGCTAGAATTGCATTCACTGACATGTAGGTGATACACATTAATCTCTGAGATGCCCACTTTCAAATTCTCAACCCACTGGGCCTGCCTTGGAGTGTCTGTCACTATAATTCTTCAATTTCTATGCCAAAGTTCAGGCAGAGGAATAAGAACAACATAGATAGCAGGTTCAATAGTATTGGGCTCTTTCAAGAGACTTATTTTCATGTTGCTCCCCCCCCCAACAAAGCTGAATGTTCATCATTTACTTCTCAACTTCTCAATTAATTAAGTAGAATAACATCAATAGCAATAATAACAATAGGTCCCACTTGCAGTCCTTTAGAAACAAAAGACCCAAAATGCTGTATTCCCTAAAAAGCTCCTGCCAGGCCCAAATCCGAATAACAGACAGAATGCCATTTAATTTAGAAACCACCTCAGACCCAAAGAAATGGAGGGGAACAAGGAGAAAAGCATTGTCAACTTACCATCCACCCGACCATAGATAAATCCACAGAGCAGTAGTTGTGTAAACAGCAGACTCATTTTGACATATTAAAAAGGATCCAATTTGTGTAAGAAACCAATCCCAGAGAGCAAAAGTACAAAAATAAGTATCAAAAAAGGAGGTAGGTCCAAAGTTGAGACTTTCCTAGATACTAATTAAAGTCAAGAAGAGCCAATGGCAGGATCAGAAGGAGCGGGTGGAGGGGTCTTGAATGGGGGGCAGGTTTAGATCCATCCAAATTAACGGAGGGCACTTCAAAAGCAAAAGCAAAAGAAAAAACCACACACACACAAAAAAAACAGCTAATGTATTTCCTAAATTCCTCTCCCAAATTCACCCCAGCCGGCCGGATCATTCACACGTGTGCAGCCCTCGCTCCTGACGTTCCACCGCCATCCAAAGCCAAGTTCTTTCTTCAGGAGTCAAGGAAATGAAGGGGAGGAAAAAGATCTAATTCCTAGAAAGTGTTCCACAACTTGTCAGCGCGCAGTCCAAACACCCTTGGCCTGTCTACTGTCGGTCCCTTCTTGCGTCTCCTCTCCGCAGCACCGACACGCCTGGGAGTTGTTGTTGTTGTTATTTTGTTTTGTTTTTGTTTGGTTTTCACTTAACTTCCATCCTAAAGATGTGTCAACGCAACACTTTGCAAACAAGCGTCTCTCCTTCACCGCCGCGTTGCCCTCCCGCCCACCTTCCTCTCTCCCTCTCTCTCTCTCTCTCTCTCTCTGCCACTCGGGCTCTCTCTTTCTGGAGAACAGGGGAAGCAGGACGACTCCGGGTGGAGAATCGGAACTCGTACGCGGAGAGGCTGCGGGGAGGGAGCAGAGGAGGGGAGGCTGAGGGGAGGGCGGGAGGGAGGGGCCTGGCTGAGCTCTCCAACCAGCCCCGGGGTGCTGCGGCGTCCGCCGCGGTCCAGCCGCCGGCGACTGCGGGGAGCCGAGCGCTCGGGGGACCTGGGAACCAGCGTGCGGTGAGC